CGCTCCCGCGCGGGACGTCTTCACAATTTTACAGGAATCGAGCTCTCGCTCGGGAGCTCTCGCAAATGATGCAGACGCCGCGCCTTCGACAGTCAGGAATCACGCTCTCGCTGTGAATTTTCCAACGATTAATTTGGGAATCGTGCTGTCGCTCGAGACTGTGGATTTTCCAACGATTAATTCAGGATTCATCCAGGAGGCACGCTTCAGCAACGCGCCTGCTCGACCTGGCGCCTGGACCCGCCTTTCCGACCAGCCTGTTTTGGTCTACCCGCCCGATCGGCCCGTCTGGTTTTGCCACGTGATTTCTGCTCCCAGCCCCCCTCCTGCTATTTTCTCTCGTGTTCTATCCTCCTCCCTCCCCCTTGTCCGTTCCTTCCATCCGTCCTCTTGTTCCCTGCCGTTGGGGCTGCATACACGTTGCAGGTAAGAAAGATATACCTCCAAGGGGGATGCGATCGAAGACACAGGGTGCGGGTCTCGAGGGTGCGGGATATACCTGTTGAACGGCACGCGAGCGGATAAAAGCGAACAATCTAAACGTGATGGTTGTTGTCGTTTTTGGTGTAGTTGTTGTTGCGGTTGCTGTTGCTGTTGTTGTTGTTGTTGTTGTTGAACATTATTAATTCTAAAGAATAATTATTGTTGGGCCCCCTGGTGCACGCCCCCCCCGCCGCGCCTAGGCCGCAGCTACATTTTCATCATTTTCGTGAGGGAAGCCTCAGGTTAAATTCGATGTGATCAAGATTCCGGTTGTTGTGTTCCCCACCGCTTTCCTTGCAAAATAAAAAAACACTATTATATAATTAAATTTCTTGTTCAAGTAAATTTTCAAATTTCAGTATCTTCCCTTGCAAAAAAATAAGGTAAAGTGGACATTCGCGCGCGCAAGACGAAATCCTTCCAAAAGCTTAGTGTTCGGAACGATTTTAACATAAAAACATCAAAAAACCAATGGTTCTTCAACAAAAAAATGTCAAAATCTCATCCCGCGCGCTCTTGCGGATTCGTAGGAAAACCAACACTTTTTAAACATTTCTGTCAAACGGGCTTTTGCGAGCAACTTTTTTCGAACTTCTGCGACAATCGACGAGCCGAAATCCTTCACATCAGTAATTTTGGGTCTCGGAGCCCACAGGGCGGTTTTTCATGTTTTCCATTCGACGTTCCATGAAGCCCGTTGTCATTCCGAGGCCGCGCGTCGAACGTTTTCGATGGCGCGTCGCGTTATGCGATGTCACGTGCGTTGGGGTCGTCAAAGGCTTGCGTGCTTGTTGCGGATCGGTTGATGTGGGCTGGGGCTTCTCAGGATTGTACATTTGCTTTGCGCTGGGGCGGTTTCGACCCCCATCCCTGGCTGATCCACCCCGCGGGTAACGTCGCAGGAAGAGTTCGATCATTTCGTTCGTTGTGCCAGCGATGCTGTCGCGGACATTGACCGCGCCACGGGGGGGGGTCGTCCAGAAATTTCCTACCATATTGCAGTGTTGGTTCTTCGTTTTGAAGAGACACCGCCCCGCGTCATTCCTTCCGGCCCCCTCCCTCGTCCTCCCTCTTCGCGTATCTGCCCCTGCTCTCCGCGTGTTTCCGTCGTCATCGTCCATCGTCATCGTCGCCATCACCATCATCATCAGCATCATCAGCATTCTCGTCGTCTCCATCATCAATACCACCACCATCCTCATCAACATCATCAAAACACCCCCCTTGTTCCCCCGCGTCTCTGCTTCGCCACATCCCCCGCAAGTGTCGTGGCCTTGTGAGGTGCTCCACGGAAGGCCCCATCGGCAGGGTCCTTAGTGCGCCGCCCAGCCCATGTCGGCACGCCCCTCAGACGCTTCGTGTCCCCATGAGGAGCTCATCGGAGGTCCCGGCGGCAAGGTCCACATGCCGTCGCCCAGGCCACATTGATGACACCCTCAAACATTTCGTGCCCCGATAGGCAGCTCCACCAAAAAAAGGTCCCAGCGGCAGGTTTCCCAGGCCGCCGCCCAGCATATTTCGGCATACGTTTCACACGCTTCGTGGCCCCACGGGGACCTACACCGACGGCCCCACAGGCAGGGCCCACAGGCCGCCGCCCAGCCCATTCCGTCATACGCTCACAAGCTTCGTGGCCCCATGGGGGAGCACCCCCGATGGCCCAAGCGACAGGGTCCACATGCCGTCGCCCAGCCCATGTCGTCCACGAGTGGCGCCCAGCACGGCTCCAAGAGCGCCCCAAGAGGCGCCGAATAAGTTGCACCCTCATGCAAATAGTTTTTGTCACTTGTGGGGGTCCTCTTGGGGCCCTTTGGAGCAATCTTGGGGCCCTCTGGGAACGTTCTTGGGGCCTTCCCGGGGCCCCAGTGGGGCCCCCGGAGGGCCCCAAGAACGTTCCCCGAGGGCCCCAAGAGGGACCCCCCAAAGTGGTACAAAGAATTCGCGCGAACGTGCAATCTGTTGTGGACCTTTCGGTGCCCTCTGGGAGCTCTCTTGGGGCCCCCTTGGTGGCGCCTTGGGGCCTTGGGATGGCTCCAAGAGGCTTCGGGATTGCCCCAGGCCGCCACAAGACAGCTCCGAGACGGCCGTCGAGCACCACGGGTGAAAGCAAGTGAGGCTAGGGAACAGGGCCTCTGGTAAGCCGCCACTGCGCCCCCTGGACTACCCAGACAGCGAGGGGACCTGAAACGCCCTGGGGCTCCAGGGGCCCCAGATTAGTGAAGTGAAGGTTTTTGCCATGCCAAGCACCCCGAAATTCTTCACTTCACTAAAGTGGACCCAGGACGAACTCGCTACGCTCCAGTCCAGCGGGAGATCCGAGACTCCCGCCGCCGCCTGGGGACGCTGCTGCATTGCGGTGCTCTGGTCACTGTTAATGGCTTCCGCGGGCTGCAGCGGCTCACTTCCATGACTACCCCGACTCACGAATCCAGTGGTTGGTCTGGATCTATGGGTTGGTTTCGTTGTGTCGGTTGATTTTATGCTTGGTTGGCGGTCGGTGGATTTCGCGTTGTTCATTGGTGTCGTGAAGTGATTTGTCGTTTGGTTGGTCAGTGCCGTTTTGTTGATTCGTGCCGGTTTGTTGGTTGGTGTCGTTTCGTTGGTTGGTGTCGTTTTGTTGCTTGGTGTCGTTTTGTTGCTTGGTGTCCTTTTGTTGGCCGGTGTCGATTTGTTGGTTTGTTGGTTGGTGTCGGTTTGTTGGTTGGTGTCGTTTTGTTGCTTGGCGTCGTCCTGGCGGCGTGGCCGATAATCGGCGGCCTGCAATGGCGCCAGGATTTGTTTCGGGCCAGCCTTGATCGCCCTCATCATTCTCATATTCGTCAGCGTCAGCACTCGTCGCCCCCATCCGCGCACACATGCGGCCCTGGTACGGCTCTCACGCGGCCCTGCGAAGGCCCTCACTGTGCTCCCCAAAGCTTTCTGAGGGGCCCCCCAGAGGCCCCCAGATGGCACTGGAAATTGTCGCTTCTAACTCCGCCAGGCGGAGGTCAACAAGGGTCTCACTGGTGCACTTCCAGGAATCGTCGTTCGATCCTCTTGGGGCCCTCTTGGGGCCTTCTGGAGCCGTCTTGGAAGCTCCGAGCGGCTCCATGAAGGCGCCGGGCGATATCGCTTCCAATTCCGCCAGGTGGAGTTAGACCAGGGGCTCACTGAGGCCCCTTTTTGCGCCCTCCTCTGCCTTTGAAAAAGCCCCGATGGGGTTCTTCAGTGCCGTCTTAGGCCCCTAAGAGGCCTCGAGCAGGGTATTGAAGCTATCGCTTCCAACTCCGCCACGCGGAGTTGAACCCAGGGCGGCTCTCTATGGCCCTTTCGGGGCCTTCTTAGAGCTTTTCTGAGGCCCTAAGTGGGCCCTGGGAGGTGTCATTTTCACGGGCGTTGAAAGTGACACCGCGGAGGGCCCTCTTGGGCCCCTCTTGGGGCCTCTCTTGGGTCCCTCTGGGAGCCCTCTTGGTGCCGCCCTGGGGCCTTCTCGGGGCCTTCTTGGAGCCTTTCTGGTGCTCTTTAAGTGGGCCCTGGGAGGTGTCACTTTCAGGGGCGCTGAAAGTGACACCTCGAAGGGCCCGCTTTCCCTCGTAGCGCTGCCCGTGGCCGGGGCAGTGTGCAGCGCATCCCTCGTCGAACGCATTTTGTCGGACGCGTGGTCGAATTCCGCCAGTTCGGTCGAGATGGTGGTCAAGCGGTTCGGTTGCAATGTAGCCATGCGGATCTGAGCTTACCATGTCTTGCCATTTTGGCGGGGGCTCGCAGGAGCGTTTGTGTTGTGATCAACTGTGCTCGATATATCCAGCGGCAGCGTTTCATCCCAATATATTATTTTGAAAAAAGTCAGCAGGGGCCAAATTGGTGATGTGAAGCAACATAGGTCTCGTAGAAGGCGGTGGGCTGGATGGCTGCATGGGCAGCCGCGAAGAAGCAAGGGTCATCGAGGATAAGAGAACCCCGAACCCTAATAATACAGGGAAGGAGTGTCCTCATTGAGGTCCCCGTCTTGGCACTCGGGATGGGAATTCTGGGCGGTGTGGTTCGATGCATCTGCAGAACAGTCGTCCTATACCTCTAGTGTTTTGGGCCCTCCGACCTTGGGTCCCCTCCCAGAGGGGTATGGGACCCTTTGAATGCAAATCAAAAGGGCCCCGAGGAAAGGGAGGCCGAAGTCCCTGTCGCCGTCAGAGGCCTCGAGGGGGGTCGCCCTCCTTCCCCCCTCCTCCTCCTCCTCCTCCTCCTCCTCCTCTCCCCCTCCTCCTCCTCTCCCTCCTCCTCCTCTCCTCCTCCTCTCCTCCTCCTCCTCCCTCCTCCTCCTCCTCCCCTCCCTCCTCCTCTCCTCCTCCTCCTCCTCCCTCCTCCTCCTCTCTCCTCCTCCTCCTCCTCCTCCTCCTCCTCCTTCCCTCATCCCCTCCTCCCTCCTCCTCCTCCTCCTCCTCCTCCTCCTCCTCCTCCTCCTCCCCTCCCCCCCTCCTCCTCCTCCTCCTCCTCCCCCTCCTCTTCCTCCTCCTCCTCCTCATCTGTGCATCTTCGCCAGTTTGGCTCAATTTCTTGCTCTGCCTGCCCTGTACGCGTCCCGAGCAAAGCATGGCCCAGGCTCGTGAGGGTGGTACCCCGCTGGCACCGAACAGGGAGGATGTCGAGTCGATATCTGTGTCCCAGCAGATCGCCCCAATGGCCATGGCGAGGATGTATCGACGAGAGTTCCTCATCATGAGTGTCGCTTTTGGCCTCAACCACGCCACGGTAACGACGCCAATTATCTACGCATCCAGCGTGCTCACCAACAGTACTGGGCAAGGCAGCAACGCGGTGTTGTATGTCGCGACCTTGATTGTTTCCTTGCTTTTTTCCAACCCACTGTTTTCGCTATTGGGTTCCAAGAAGGGCCTGTCAATCTCCATGGTCTTGTACGCGGTATATGTGTTCCTATTTGCGGCCGCCGCCAATGCGTGCATGGACAGGGACGCAAAGGGGAAATGCGTCACAGGGGGCGCGGTTCAGTCGATAGCCGCCTACGTTGGCGCGACCATTGGCGGCTGTGGAGCCGGATTGCTCTGGACTTGCCAGGGCGCTTTCTTCGCATCTTCGGCACACAGGTTGGCAGAAGTCGAGTTGAAAGATAGGGGTGCCATGACTGCAGAGCTCGCAGGGACATTCGGTGTGATCTTTCTCGGTTTCGAAGCGGGCGTGAGAGCGCTCACGACGCTGCTTCATGTGTACGCCAAGCTGAGCTACCCGGTCGTTTTCTACCTGTATTCCGCGCTTGCCTTGTCGTCCGCGGTGGCGTTCATGGCGTCAGCGACGGAGCTACAGAGTGGTGCCAATGCTCCGAAGGCCGAAGTCTGCACAAAGGTGCTCGCCGCGGTCAGAATGTGGCGCGATCCCAAGCTCTGGCTGCTGATGTCCACGAACGTTACTTTCGGCTTCGCCGCCGCGTGGCTGGGCGGCTACGTGGGCGAGAACATCCTGTCGCAGGCACTGAGCTCCGGCTTCATCGGCTTCGCCGGTGCCCTGCTGTCGGCCCTCGCGGCCGTGCTCAGCCGGGTGCTGGGCTGGGTGTCACAGAGGACGGGCAAGGGCCCTGTCTTGCTGATGGGCGCGGTGTGCTTCGCGCTGCTCGGGGTGCTGAGCAAGGTCGGCGACCCTGCCAAGTGGCACTGGGGCGTCCTCGTCTTCTACATGTGCATGGGCGTGGGCAGGGCGGTCTACGAGAGCACCAACAAGGCCATCTTCGCGGACTTCTTCCCCAGCCCCGAGCAGGGTCCCGGCGTCTTCGCCAACGTGTTCGTGTTCGGCACCGGCTCCAGCGCCGCGGCGTTCCTCCTGGGCGCGCTGGAGAAGACAAAGGATCGGCGGCGCGCCTAAGCCTGGGGCGGGGATGTACACAGTGGGGGCCCATGCCAAGAAACACTCTGCTCGCCTCCAGGGGGCCCTGTGCTTCTTGGGCTTCGATGGCTTCGCGACGGACAGCGCGAAGCTCCCGCACCAAAAATCAGTGGGCGTCCTGGGGTCTCAGGGATGGGCGTCTTGTGGAAGTGGACTGGCCTCCACTGCATACCCTCAAGTCGGGCCTGTCCCCCTGCAGGAAGAATATTCAAAAATAGTGAAAACATAGTCGGGGGACTGTTGTTTTGACTACTCCTGAGTAGTTCGAGGTCTTTTCTGGGGGTATCAGTAACACTTCACCCAAAGACCCCCTGTAGGGGGACGTGCCCGACTTGAGCATACGCACACCCACCGCGCGGGGCGAGGAGGAGGAGGAGGAGGAGGAGGAGGAGGTGGAGGAGGAGGAGGAGGAAGAGAGCAGGAGAGGAGGAGGAGAGGGGAGGACGAGGAGGAGGAGGAGGAGAGGAGGAGGAGGGGAGGAGGAGGGGAGGAGGAGGAGGAGGAGGAGGAGGCTCCCCGGGGCGGTGGCTGCGTGCCGAGGGCCCCGCCCCTCGTGCGCGCGCGCGGGGGGCGCGGGGGGCGACGGGGCGGCCGCCGGCGCGGCAGGCAGGCTCGCGCCCCTCGTGCGGCGGGCTCGCGCCGCGGCGGTGTCGGCTGGCGGCGCCCTCGCCGCCGGCGCTCCGCTTTGAACGCCTAGGCGGCCACATGCGAACCCTACCCCTACCCCCCACGATTTTTGAGGGGGAGGGTGGGGTTCACTTCGCTCGGGAGCTCCGAGCGAAGTGAACCCCTCCCTCCGCCTCAGAAATCGTGGGGGGTAGGGGTAGGGTTCGCATGTGGCCCCTAACGCCGCCGGCGACCCAGAAAAATTCTGCACGAACGAAGGGGGCACGGAAAGAGTGGGTACAGTGCCCAACAGCGTTTTTTGAAAAAGTCAAGACGGACGTTTTTTGCAATTTTCGGCCATCAGGGGCCCTTACCGGGCCTCGGGACCACCAAAAAACGACTCAGGATGAAAAATCGGTCCTGGGGAATTGGTAGAGACTTCGGGGACCCCGTATTGAATAAATCACGACGGGGGACGAGGGGTGCTGCAACCGGCCCCCGCACTCTTCTGTCGGCACGAAAGACTCCCCCTCCTCTCCTCCTCCCCTCCTCCTCCTCCTCCTCTCCTCCTCCTCCTCCCTCCTCCCTCCTCCTCCTCCTCCTCCTCATCCTCCTCCTCCTCCTCCTCCCTCCTCCCCTCATCCTCCTCCTCCTCCCCCTCCCCCTCCCCCTCTCCCTCCCCCTCCTCCTTCTCTTCCTTCTCCTCCTCCTCCTCCTCGGTTGTGCTTTCCCTTCTCAACAAACCCTCTCGAGGGTTTCGGCCCATCGGGCTTTTTTGCAGCTCCTACCGCCTCTGGGGGCGGTGCCGTAGGCCATACGCGGCCCAGTGGGAAAGCAGGTTTCAGCGCAGTTATTTCGCTGGGTCCCAGTTTTCTTCCGCTGTTGATGTTGTCTGGAGGCAGACTTTGCGAGCTGAAGGAGCTGTGGCCAGCAACCAGTCTAGCTGCACGATTCTGTGGGACCTCTACAAATGTTTTGAGTTGGTGCACTTGGCCACGCTCCTTCAGCGTTGCCACCAGTATGAGTTCCCCGTCCAGTTGGCTCGGCTCGCTGTGCAAGGATATCGACACGGCAGATTTGTTTCTCTCGGCGGCGTGGTCGTCGGCCCGTTCCACGTTACCAACGGCGTCGTCGCCGGCTGTGGTCTTGCGACCACCATGGTGCGTATCAGTGCCATCCCTGCTCTCGACGCGTTGCAGCTGCCACCAGGTATCACGCTCGACGTTTACATCACGATTACGGTCTCAGCTGCAACGGGTCCAATACCTACATTGTTGGTCACCTCCCTGAGGCCGCGGCCAACTTCAGGGAGGCCATCGAGGCCGATATGGGTGCGGTCATCTCCCCTGATAAAGCTTCCCTTGTTGCCTCGTCGGACGCGCTCGCCACGCAAGTCAGGGACTGTCTTGGTGGCCTCGCGGGGCCCATCATCCAAGGGACCGTCAACTTGGGGATTGATTTTGCCCCTGGCACCTCCCGTCGGCTTCCTTGTAAGGGGGAACAAGTCTTCTGACCGCAAGCGGGCTTTCAACAAAAAGGTTAGAAGGCTCAAGCGAGCCAATCGGCCCCTCGGGCGGCATGCTGTCAAAGTTTTTACCGCGGGTCCCCTTCCCAGCCTCACGTTTGGGTATGAGGTTCACGGGCTCTCGAATTATGAATGGGACAGAGTGCAGATTGCCGCCGCCAGTACTATGCAGCCGTCTGCCAAGATGAGGTCACGGACCTCCGTCCTAATTTTATCCCACGACCCGACCTGGTACCCTGCTGTGGCGCCGATCGTGCGGTACTCCAAGGAGATTTGGGCCAACCAAACCAAACTTTTTCCCTTTGTCATCCCGTGGGCTGAGCTGAGGGACTCTTGGAATGTTGTTTTCGGATCCCCTGGGCCCAAAACCTGGCGTGGGGTTGAGGGGCCCCTGGGGGCCATGAAGCTGGCCTTGGAAAGGATTTCTTTGGGCATGCCCAACTACTGTACCCTCTTGGATGATTTTGGAACCGAGGTTCCGCTTACTGTGACGTCCCCAGTTCTTCTTAATAAACTTTTGAAGGCTGCAGTTCAGAGGACCCACGAGAGGGCTAGCGGTGCTGCACTGCTCCCACATCTTCCAGGAACTCGAGTTCGCCATGATGTTGTGGCAGATACGTTGCGCTCCAAGCAGGGCGCGCCGTTCCAGCGAGGTTGTGCCAAGGCTGTTGTTTGTAAGGCCACTTGGACTAGGACCAGAGCCGCCGAAGCAGGATATGCTGTTTGCTCGGATGGCGAAAGATGTGGGAGTGCACCTGATACTATGCTACATTGGCTTTGGTTCTGCCCAGCGTGTCATGACAAGAGGCAGGACGTGTTTGACAGTTTCATGCAACAGTTTACCCTTCTGCCTCCGCCTGACCTCACGCCCGAGAACAATGAGGAATCTTACTTGCTGTACACTCGTGGCCTGTTTCGGCATCCGGGGGACGTTTTTCCGTTTCCTGCTCTTGATGATGTAGAAGACATTGGCCTTCAGATCATTTGGGCCAATGACAGTTCTTCGAAATGGTTCAGTATTTCTGGACACATATTCGTGGACGGCTCTTGTGTTGCGCACACTGTTAAAGAACTCTCCAGGGCTGGGTGGGGGATCGTGATGGTAGGTGACGACGGCAATGAAATTTGTCGCATTAGTTGTCCCCTGTGGGCCCCCAACCTCCAGACCGCCCAAGGGCCAAGGGGGAGAGTTTTGGGCCTACGCTGTTGCTGCCACGCATGCCATGCCAGACAGCTCCATTTACTCTGATTGTAAGAATGTGGTTGTCCAACCCAATGAGCCGCTGCTCAGGGCTTTGTCCTACAAGCGTGTGTACTCTGGGTTTTTTACTCCCCACCCACCGTAAGCTTTTGGAAGGGGTTTTTAAGGTCAAGGCTCACGTTGAAGAATCCGGTGGCCTAACCGAGCTTGAGCATTTCTTGCAGCAAGGTAACGACCTTGCTGATATTGTCGCCACAGGCTCGCTTGCCCGCCACCCACAACCTGACCCCGAGGATGTGGAATGGCTTGAGCGATGCCACTCGATTGCTCAGTGTGTCATGCGTCTTCCCGCCGAGCTGATGCCAGAGTGGCCTCGGCTCAACCTGAAAGGGGTCCCGCTTGTGCCCAAGCCCCCCAGGCCCAAAGTTGAACCGAGGCCTCACCAGTGGACTCGTGTCTCATCTTTTTGGCAGCGCATTGAATGTCTCAAGGTTGCCAAGGGCGTGCCGCGGAAGAACCCTTATGGGTCTCGGCTTGGAGGTCTGGACCCGCCGGCCCCTGGGAAGTGCCTCGGAGATTCCAAGCTGAATCCCGCGGTGCTTTCTGCCCTCAGGCACAACTGCATTGCTTTGCCATGCTCCGATTGTGCCGCTCTCACTATTTGTATGCGATGCTACGCCTATTCCTCCCACGGGCAGCCTCGCAATTTGCTTAAACTGTGTGATGGTCAACCTCAGAGTGCGGGCGATAAGTCCGCCTGGAGCTCTGAGGTATCTCAGTCGAGGTCGGCCCCTGGTACGGAGACCAGGAACCCGAGGAGCTGCCACGGCGCCTCACCGACCGAGAACGGAAGTTGCGGACTGCTAAGCTGGTGCGTAGACTGGTCACCGCTGCTGGGGGGGCACCAGTGCCAGCTGATGAAGAGCTGGAGGTGGATCCTCCCTTGCCTGCTCCTCCACAGGGGCAGCAGCGTGATCGAGTCGTCGACCCGTCGTTAGAGTCGTCGTCTACCATCGTCAATGCTGCTGGCCCCTCCTCTCTCCCATTTGATCCGCTCGATGCGGAAGAGGAAGCCGCTTGTTTTTTGTTTGACACGCCTGACGAGAGTCCCCCTCTGCAGGCAGTGCAGCAGTTGTCCGAGCCTGCATCTTCGGTTGCTGCGCTCGGCCGCGTCCGAGCAGCCCTCGCCCTTGAAGAGGACGAGGCCCCGCTCGTCTCCGTCGATGCACCACGGTCTGATGACTCAGACTAGGAGACGCAGCATGCGCTTCCCGCCTGTGTTGCGTCTCGCCCTGACCTCATTCTTCTCAGGTCGCGGGCCATGGGGGGGCGGGCGGTTAGCCACAGGGGATCCTCCCTTCCTGCGGGAAATCGCCCCGTGGTTTTCGCGCCCGCCCTCCTTGATTCTTTCCACTGCTCGCTAGCCTGCCTCAGGCCAGATAGCAGGAGGCGACGCCCTCTGGTCGTCGCCTGTGGTTGCCACGGTTGATGTCAAAATCCTCCTCCTCCTCCTCCTCCTCCTCCTCCTCCTCCTCCTCCTCCTCCTCCTCCTCTTCCTCCTCTTACGGAAAGAATGGGCACAATGCCCAACAGCAGTTCCTGTTTTTTTCGGACAGCACCCGCTGTCCGCGCCGCCGCGGCCTGTTTGCATTTATGAGGCAGAAGGCCGCCCGCCCTACAGAGGCTTCTGTTGGTTTGTGACAACCTTTGTTGTTGGGCATCGTGCCCATTTTTTCCGTACCCGTTTCGGGCGTCCAACCGAATCGGCCCGTCTCAAACAGTGGCGAGGCGTCTTGGCTCGCCCATGGGCCTACCAAAGAGTGTTCTAAGGTATTTTATTTCTGGTTTGCACGAAGTGTGTTCATAACATGTTTCTGGTTGAGTTTTACATATATATATATACATATATATAAATGTTAAAAATTACAATAAAAAACACATCGGGTTAATGTTCTAAAAGAAGTCATGTTGTTCCTAGAGCGATTATTGGTTCTCAGAACACTTCGTGGTAGGACTATAGGAATGCCGGGACGGTCGGTCCCTGGCGCAACCATCGTTGAACGATTCGGCGTTTCTGAAGCGGCCGGTAGTTCAAGGCTGAGCGATTCCCGCGGTGTCCGGAGCCAATGCCGGGGTCGGCCCGACGCGAGCCTGCCGCAGCCCCTCCTGCCTGCAAGAAGCCTTCGTGCACGGCTCCAAGAAGGGGCGGGGCCTTTCTAACAGGCCCCCCTGCTTTCTCGCAAGCCCCCCCCCCGTCGCCCCGCCCCCCCCCCCGTGCGCCCGCCGCTAAGAGGTCGAGCTGTACCTCCTGCTGTTTTTCGCCGCGCTGACCTTCCCGGCCTTCCTCCTGGCGTCCGCGCTGGCCAAGCGCGCCGAGGTCGGAGGGCGTCACCCAAATGCAGCTGCGCCGATCCTGGCTGGGCTGGCATTCGGCTCAGGATCGGCGTAAGCATGCAGACCGTTCGTTTGATTCATGCATTCGTCAGCAGCGAGCGAGGGGGGGGAGTGAAAGGGGGCGGACCTTCTCAGAAGGCTCGGAAGCCCCCAGCCTTCTCAGAAGTTTCTTGAGCCTCTCCTGGAGACAGCGGACACAGTTCAGAAGGCGCGAGGGTTTCTGAGAAGTGCTGCCGCCTTCTGTCAAGGGAGGGAAATCTACCCAGGGGACCCGGACCGGACAATTGGTGTTCACAAAACGGCCCGGGGCGTTTTCTAAACAGCCCTGCCCTGTTCGATTCCTTCTCTGGGCGCGTTTACTGATCGACTTCGCGTGTTGCGGTGGTTCTTAAGGGGTATTTGTTAAACATTCTATTCTGAGAAGGCCTTCTCTCTAGGCCTCCTTGATGGGGTCAGAGTAGATGGGGTCGGAGGATCGCGCCACATCGCCGACGCATCGCCGAGGCGGCTCGATGTGCAGCCCGATTTGTTTCACGTCGACATTGCCGATGCATCGCCGACGTCGACGATTCATCGCCGGTGCATCGCCGATGCACCACCAATGCATCGCCGATGCATCGCCGATGCATCGGCGATGCGGCGCGATCCTCCGACCCCATCTGCGCCGACCCCAGCTAAAAAGCCTCTATGCTCCTTCTCACTGCCCACCTTCGCTCGCCGCCGAACTCGTGGGGGCCCCGCGCCCCGAAGACTCGCCGTGGACGCCGGCGCCTGCTTCGGCAGGCGAGGGCGTCTTGCTCCGACGCGCCCGCCGCTGGTCATGGGCGGGGCGAGCCCGGGGAGCTCCGTCCTCGCCCTGGTGCTAATCAGGAGGAGAAAAAACACACAGACACAATTCATCGTGGATTCCCAAGAAAATATTTGAAAATATTGGCAGTGGGGGGGAAGACAAAAACCAAGAAAATATTGGGAAATATTGGGGATCCTTTTATTTGTGTGTATTTATTTGTGTGTCCCAGGGCCCCTTCAGCTAAGTCGTGCCTGCCCCTCTACAGGAGGAAGATTCAAAATCAGTCGACAAGTAGTCTGGGGACGATCTTGTAAGTTTTTTCTTGGGCCATGTTTAATGTTTCGGCCAAATCCGCCTGAAGAGGGACAGGCCCGACCCAAGCCTGGTGTTACGTCGGGCCTGTCCCTCTACAGGAGGAGTATTCAAAAATGCTAAACAAATAGTCTTGGGGCGATTTTATGATAATTAATCGTTTGACCATTCTGGAGTATTTTGTTAACTATTTGTTTTATTTTTACCTAACAGCGTTTGCTGATAGGTTTCTAGTGGGCTCAAAAGAGAGCATCATGACTCCTCAGGGGGGTCTGGGCGGGTGCCGGGGAGGAGAACCGGGAATCGTTTTTCGCCAACAGTCACACATTTCGTGCTCTTCGACCTCCCAGAACTCCATTCCCGGGCCACATTCTGGAGAACCGGGAACAGAGCCGGGCTCGCTTTTCGCCAACAGTCACACACTTCGTGCTCTTCGACCTCCCAGAACTCCACTCCCGGGCCACATTCTGGAGCAACGGGAACAGAGCCGGGCTCGTTGTTCGTCAACAGTCACACACTTCGTGCTCTTCGACCTCCCAGAACTCCATTCCCGGGCTACATTTTGAGTGCCCGGAGCCAACTGTAGGCCACTTCGTGCTCTTCGAGTTCCCAGAACTCCATTCCCGGGCCACATTTTGGATGCCCGGAGCCAACTGTAGGCCACTTCGTGCTCTTCGAGTTCCCAGAACTCCATTCCGGGCCACATTTTGAATGCCCGGAGCCAACTGTAGGCCACTTCGTGCTCTTCGAGTTCCCAGAACTCCATTCCTGGGCATGATTTTGAATGCCCGGAGCCAACTGTAGGCCACTTCGTGTTCTTCTAGTTCCCAGAACTCCATTCCTGGGCCACATTTTGAATGCTGAGGCAGGCTGATGCTGCTGCTGAGGCTGAGGCGAGGCAGGCTGAGGCTGAGGCAGGCTGAGGCTGAGGCCGAGGCTGAAGGCAGACTGAGGCTGAGGCTGGCTGAAGAGGCTGAGGCTGAGGCTGAGGCAGGCTGAGGCTGAGGCTGAAGCAGGCTGATGCTGAGGCAGGCTGAGGCTGAGGCTGAGGCTGATGCAGGCTGAGGCTGAGGCAGGCTGAGGCTGAGGCCGAGGCTGAAGGCAGACTGAGGCTGAGGCTGAAGCAGGCTGAGGCTGAGGCTGAGGAGGCTGAGGCTGAGGCAGGCTGAGGCTGAGGCTGAGGCAGGCTGAGGCTGAGGCTGTGACTGCGACTGCCGTTGCCGCTGCGACTGTCATCGCGAATGCGACTACGACTGCGAGAACAGCAGAATTCTACAACTGGATTTTCATCTGAATCTTAAGGGGAATGCTTTCAGATATGCTTCTACATATCGCTGTTAGGTTGCTTTGCCGGGATACTTCGTCGAAAATCTTCCTGTGGGGGACAGGCACCACCCAACCCTGTTGCCGCGTGACTCTGCCGACCTCTCCCGAACGGCCTGGACACAGGTCCTGGGCCCAGGCTGGGCTTGGCCAGGAGCGCTGCAGCTGTACATCCACGGAAGACGATCCATGGAGAGGAGGCACGTTGCCAAATCATTTCGAGATGTCGAAAGCATGTCTCAAACGTTTCTTTAAGGTGCTGAAGCATGTTGTAAGCATGGCTTGAACATGTTTTAACCGTGTAGAAGACATTCGAGCGATATTTTCCATTCAATGACAGAACGGTTGGAGAGTCCATTGTCGTGGCATTCACAATTGCACATCCATGGCACCCCTTCTGGGTGGGGTCGGAGTAGATGGGGTCTGAGTATCGCGCCGCTCGCCGATGCATCGGCGATGCATCAGCGGTGCGGCTTGATGTGGGACACCATTTTCTCCACGCCGACGTCGCCGATGCATCGCCGACGTCGCAAGTGCATGGCCGATGTATCGCCGATGTGCAGTCGGGGCGCGCATCAAGAAACCATACGCTTTTCGTCGGGGTACCCTGGGTTTCTTCGCTCCGCGCGCTGCGCGGCGACTTCCCGCGGCCGTCAAAGAAGCGGCTGCGTTCTGGGTGCTCTGGGCTTCCCCTCGGGTGCACCTCCCGCCAGGGTTTTCAGGGTTTGGTTTTTGTTCGAGGGCTTCTTGCGACAGCGCCCGCACTGTATCGGCGATTCGGGGAGATCCTCAGACCCAACCTACGTGAGGTTAGAGTCGTGTCGACTGGCGGCAACCCCGCCGCGGGAGCTCAACGCTGAACGCCGCCGGCGACCCAGAATCGGTCGATGTTGAAAGATTTGGCGTATCTGAAGCTCAGCATCGTTTAACCGACCGCCATCCCCATCCTCAACCCCTTCGAGACCCCCACCAAATTACTCCCCCAGTTGGGGATGTACCCTTCGAAACCCGAAGGGAACGGCCTATAGCGAGTTGGCGTTGAGGCGGGCGCGTCCCTCTGCAGGGGGAAAGTGACATTGCACGACGACGGGGCCTCCCCGCTAATTTTTGGATGTCGGTCCCACGAGTAACTGCGAAGTCGGGTCTGGTCACCTTCGACATCTCGCAGAACCAACATCAACGTTCTGAGATGATGGATGCGGCTTGCGAGCTGGAGGTCAGTACTCTGCAGATGGAACCTTCACCAAGGACCTTTCGGGTATAGCTTCCGTATGTGGGGAGAGTCCTCGTTACGGCTACCCCACTCAACATCATCAGCAATGTTCAAACACGGTCAAAGGATAGTTTGCGGACGATTGTTTGACCAGTGTTGCACACATGTTTGCATATGTTCTGACAATTGTTTTCAGTTTTCGTCCAGTATCCGCCTGTAGGAGGACGTGCCCGGCCTAAACCTGGTGAGCGTTGTCTTATCCATTGTTGTTCCGATCGGCACGGGCCCTCGCACCCCCTTCCCCATCCCCATGCAGTAAGTAGATCTTGGCTGCTTCTGGCGCCTGTTTCAATCAGGTGGGGTCCCCCCCATAGGACGCACTGCTGCAGCCAGTCGCATCGAGCAGAGGTCCGAAGCCAGACCCCCCCCTCCCACCCCCCCTTTCGCCCAACGTCGAAATGCCGACTACGAAAACGTCCACCCAGCTCGTGGAGTGTGGTGGTTCCCTTCTGACTCCTTGCGTGCTGGCCGGCCCGAGGCCCGCGAGCCGCGGCAGGCGGCGCCGTGAGGGCAGCGCCGTGAGGCCGGCGGCGGGGGCCGCCGCGGGGCGGCCGCGGGCCCAGGCCGCGGAGGGGCTGCAGTAGCAGCCGGCTCCTCCCGCGCCGTGCCCCGGGAGTCCCCTTCTTGCGAGAGGCAGGGGCACCACTCAGGAGGGAACAGAAACACACAGACACAATTAATCGTCGATCCCCAGGAAAATCTTGGAAAATATGGGAAGGGGGGGGGGGGGAAGACGAAGATCCCAAAAATATGAAAAATATTGGGAATCTTCTTATTTGTGTGTATTTATTTGTGTGTCCTGGGGCCCCTTTAACCACGGTCGCCGAGGGCCCATCGGGTGGGGCCCACCCCCCGGGCGACGGCTCGCCCCCCAGGCGTCGCCTTGGTGCTGTGCGTCTCTCTCGGGCGTGCCGCCGCCCAGGCGGCGGGCTTCCTCCGATGGGTCCTCCGTGGCGGTGATCTCTGCCTCTCCTCTGAGGTGTGCCGGCGCGCTGCCTCATTTCACCAGCCTCGAACGTCTCCCTATCCCTAAGATTGGCACGCCAAAAGGCGATGACAATCTTAGGGATTCGCCTTGAAAAACTAAGGGAATCCCTAAGATTGGCATCGTGATGAGGAGGTGCCCAGCACAGGGATAGGGATATGTTCCAGGCTGGTGACCTTGGCGAGAGGCAGGGACGCCACGGCCGCCGAGGGCCCATCGGGGGGTGGGGCCCACCCCCGGGCGATGGCTCGCCCCTGGGCGTCGCCGCCCGGTGCCGTGTGGCTCTCCGTGGCGGTGATCTCCGTCTCCCCTCTGAGGCGTGCCGGCGAGCTGCCGCATTGCTCAGAGCCCCGAATCCTCAGGGGTAACTCGGGTCAGGGCTAACTCGGGTTCGTGTTTCGGGAATCCGACCCCGAGTTGCCCCGGGCCCGAGTTACCCCGGATAATTCGGGCGTCCAGAGCCCCAAATCATCAGGGGTAACTCGGGTCAGGGCTAGTTCTGGTTCGTTTTTTCGGAAATCCGAACCGTAGTTGCCCCGGGCCCGAGTTACCCCGGATAATTCGGGCGCCAAAATTGCTCTTCCGCCCGCCCGGTCCCTGAATTCGAGGAGCAGGAGTCGGCCTGGGCAGAAAACCGTTGCCCGTCCGTGCGTTTGTTGTGTGGATCGGCGCTGTCCCCTGGGCCGCCCCAGGTGGGGCCCGCCCCGCGCTCCAGGGGCCATGGTGCGATGTCCAGCGCTGATCCACGAAATCTGCGCGGACCTCCAGAAGTTTTGGTTCATGTAGCGTTGTCTTCTTCTCTCAGCAAAGGACTTGGTGACTCCTTCCCGGTATAGTCGGCTTTTCGACGGGCGAATAATTGGCGGTGTATCCCGAAATCTGCCTTCTTTTCTACACGACCCGCTTCGTCCTGTTCGTTGCATCTTCGGTGGTCCTTGTTTGTCCCGTAGATTGCCGCAGGGCTCGACCTAAACGGCGTTTTAGCGATCTCGTGGGCCGTTTCGTTTTGATTTCGTTTTGCAGCAAAGGCGGAGCGAGGACAGAACGAGGGAAAACGAACACAACACGAACACGGAACACACATTATTCGGGTCGAGCTTTGGATTACCGTCTTTTCTGATGTCCCGCGCGGGTTCGACGCGAGTTCGACGCGACTTCAATGTGGGTCCGACGCGGTTCCGAGATGGATTCGACTGGGAGTCCCCAAACGTGGTGGTGACAACACCCGGCGATGAGTCTAGAGCGATGTGGTGTCACCACCCGGTTTGGGGACTCGCGTGGTTTTTCGAGCATGTCCCGAACGTTGGCGGGTTCAGGATTCACAAAGCCCGGCGGTGACCCCGTGTCCCAAAACCTGGCGGTGATTGTTTGGGGGTTCCAGGTCACCGTTTGACATCGCACCGCTTGGTGTGGGGGCTCCGGATCCCAGACCCCCGACGTCACGATTTTTTCGTGACGTCGACCCCCAAGGGTATCGACCCATTCTCCAGGACCAGTTTTTCACCCCGAGCCGTTTTTTGACGGCCCCGCGGCCTGGTGAGGGCCCCCAGAGGCCGAAAATGGCAAAACACCTCCCGTCACAATGTTTTCATCATTCGAGGGGGTCTGGGTTGGGGGCTCCTGGTTCGACTCGGATCCGACATCCGGCACGCATCCGCCGCGAGCATGCCGAGGCGCGTAGGGCTAAGTCGTGCCTGTCCCTCTACAGGGGGAACGTTAAAACATTGTAAAAAAATATTCGGGGAACGATTTTCTGTTTTTGTCGAGCATTTGTTGTGCATTTTTCGATACAACAAATCATCGAACATCGGCCTGTAGGGGGACATGCCGAATCTACGAGTAGGGGCAGAGGAGGGCTTCCCGAGGGTGCAGCGTGGCGGCCCCGGGCCCGGGTCGGCTCGTCGAGCTCGAGCTACTCCAGGGGCGGACAAGCAGGGGGGGGAGGACGAGGGTCCGTCCTCCTCCTCCTCCTCCTCCTCCTCCTCCTCCGCGTCCTCCTCCCTCCTCCTCGTCCTCCCTGATCTCGTCTCTGTCGCTCTCTTTCTCGATCTTGGTTGCACCGCTTATCACGACTTGAAGCATTGGCCACGCGTCGCCCCGCACAGAGAGCGGTCGAGAATGTTTAGCTTCGCCAGAGCTCGTCTTGTTCAGCTGCGCAGGCGCGCTCCCCGCCATGCCGTTAGAGGCGATTGGGAGTTGAGTGTCGTCCGCCGTCGTCGGTCGTCCCCTCGGGTGTCCTCCTCAGGCGGCCAAACGGCCTCCTAGTCTTCCTCCTCCTCCTCCTCCTCCTCCTCCTCCTACTAGTCCTCTTCCTCCTACCAAATATGTTCGCGCAGTGTTTTGTGACCAGATTTTGGGCCCGCGGGGGCCTGTCCAGTCGCAGCTGTTGGACGCGGCTCCGACACATGTTAAGTCGGGGATGTCCCTCTACAGGAGGAACATTCAAGAGTAGCCAAAACAACGTCACGCTGCGACTTTCACTAGTTTTGCATCTTGTTTGGGGTGTGCTTTATTTTCCGTCCAGAATCCGCCCGTGGGAGGATACGCTCGACCGAAGACTAGGGCTGGAGGGGTATCATGGCCCATGGCGGGGGCCATGAGATTTCCCCAGATTTCATGGCGCCCTTGCTTGTTTCAATGCGTCCCGGCCCCCCCCCTTGGGCCGCGCACGTTCCGCCAGGACGCCCCCGAGTTACAGAGCTGGTGTGTGCCGGACGCGGTTGGGCCCGGACGAATCGTGTTTTCGTTACCAGGGTTTTGGGTCCGCCCTGGTCTTGTTCCTTGCCTTCATTTGTCTCGGGGGCCCCCAAACGGTGTTGTGACCACACCGTGTGGTGAGTCGGTGGGGATTCGGGGTCACCGCACGGTTTTGGGACTCGAGTCCTTCTCCGAGGATGTTTCGGGCGACAGGGGCCTCCAGGATCCCAAAACCGTGGGGTGATGGACCGTGCGGTGAGGTCTTGGGGGAGTTCGAGGTCACCGCACGGTCAGTCACCGCACCATTTCGGGACTCCCAGTCGTCGGTTATTTGGCCTCTTTCCTCGGGTGCTCGGGTGCCCCAGTTTCGTTCCTTGTTAAGCTTCCTCGGGTTCCCTTGTCTTCTGCCGTGCTTGTGATCCTCAGGCTCCCAGGTCGTGTTCCTGAGGTTCCCCAGGTCGCTGAGTCTTGTTCTTTGTTGGGGTTCCTCGGGTTTTGCCCTGGTCCTGTTTTTCGGGCTTCTTGGCGCTGCAAACAATACCACGCAACGACTAGTAATGCAAAGGAAGACCAGTCCACTCGCAGCAATGCCACCGGATGCCGAGCAACGCCGAGCAAAGCAGGGCAAATCAATACCAAGGAATTTCAACCAAGGCCAAACAATTTGCCCATGCAGTAGGAAACGTTTCCCTTGTCAGGGCCGCTCTGGGCTCATGTTTTGAAGCCTGATCCCCAGCCCTCCGTGGCGCTGCTCGTCGCCGCGGAGGCCCTCGTAGTTCACGTGCGCACCCCCCCTTCTGAGAAGCAACTTCTTCGATTGAGCAGACAAGAGCCCGTTTCTTATTGCTTGGGGCATGACGGGCGTCATGGCCCCCGCTCCCCCCCCTGTGACGTAACGGCCCCCCCCCCCAGTGAGCTCCGGGGACTGCCGCCGTGCCCATTGGGATCTGCGTAAGTGTCCGCGTCGGAATCCGCACAGGAGTCTGGTCCGCAGTCGTCGTCGTCGTCGTCGTCGTCGTCGTCGTCGTCGTCGTCGTTCGTGGTTCGTCGCTCGTCGCTCATCGTCGTCGTGCGCGCGGACGTGGCTGGAGCTTGTTCTTTATTCTGGGCCGATGACCGCAATCATCAGGGGGGTGTCGGAGGGGGTCGATGACGTCACGTTTCGCGCCGGCAGCGCCTGGGAATGCTTAGGATTGATGGGGGACGGGTGGCACCAGCATGCAGGTGGCGATCTGCACCACAACGCACGTGTACATCACAGGGTGCGCGTGCATCACACCGCCAGTGTACACCATACCGCCTATGTGCACCACAGCATCCGCGTTCAAAACAGCGTCTGTTTGTGCGACCGTGCTTGCGGGCACTACAATTCTTGTGCACACCACAGCGCCTGCGTACAGCACATCAGCCGTGTGCGACACAGCACCAGTGTTCACCACAATGCTTGCGTGCATTGCAGTGCCTATGTACACCAAGGCGCCTGTGTGCACCACAGCAACCGTGTGCAACACAGCACCACTGTTGTATCTAGAAGTTCGAAGGAGTCCTCATGACAAAGCGGAGAGATTGTGGATTCCACGGAAAAGAGTGTAAAGGAATCTACGAGTCCTCCCGAGCCCGCCCGCATCACTTTAAGTCCTCCCATCCGCGTCCAGGAGGTTCCAGCCAAATTTGCCGTCCGAGAACAAAGTGGACCGATTCAATAGATCATTCTGCGGTTGACGATGGGATGCGCACGTGTGCTGTAGCGCCAAACCGCACGACAGGGGGTAAGTAGGAAGAGGAGGAGGAGGAGGAGGAGGAGGAGGAGGAAGAGGAGGAGGAAGACGAAAATGAAGAGGTGGTGGAGGTGGAGGAGGAGGGAGGACGTAGAAACGTCGCATTTGATGATCAGTATTTTTTTGCTGTGGCGTCCAGTTGTCCGCAGCAGATCCTCACGTACATGCCCCTTTGTACATGTCCAATGCACGCAGGCAACGTGGTTACACCAGCGCTGCGACGCGGTGTAAACAGGCCTTGTGGCGTGCACAGGCGCTGCGGTGTACGCGCGCAGTGTGGTGTACACAAGCGCTGCGTTGCACACTGTTGTTGCGGTGTACGCAGCGTACGCAGGCGTTGTGGTATACACGCGCGCGGTGGTGCACGCGAGCGTTGGGGTGTGCACAGGCGCAGTGGGGCATATCGCCACCTACATGCTGCTTGCGTCGTCGTCGTCGTCGTCGTCGTCGTCGTCGTCGTCGTCGCTCGCCGATCGTCGCGTCGTGCGCGCGGGCGCGGCTGTGGTGCCAGAGCCACACGGCGGGGGGGGCGTTACGTCATACCCCCCGTTTGCCCTCCCCTCCCCCCATGACGCCCGTCATCGCCGAACTTAAGGAAACGCGTTCCAATCGGCTCGAGGCGGAGCAGTAAAAGGTTCCGAGGGGTAGCAAATATACCTGACCCCAACGAGGGGAAACACCAATACATACATGGGGGGGGGGCAACAGCACAGACTTACTCAGAACACGCGCCTCTTCTTCCACCCTGATGCCCCTCCCCCTCGTGTGGAATCAGCGGGGGCATCCTCTGTCCCGGCACCTGCTGCAGTCCTCCGGCGCTCAGGCGAACCCCATTAGCCCAGGGGATAGTCTCGGACGGCCTCGGATGTGGCAGTGAAGTGGCGCCGGGTAGCCTCGCGGGGCCTCCGATGTTGCGCGGATGGCCAGGCGAGTTTAATGGAGGCCCGCATAGATCTAACACAAATCCCCCGTGTCCTCCCTCGCGACGACTGAGACTGGGCACCAACAGTTTTCACAGTTCTCGGTCTTCCCGAGTCCCAGGCCCCCACTGGGCCCTGTGGCCGTCTGGAAGCACCCCGGGATGAGGAACTGGTCCCGGGGAAAACCCCAGGGTCAGGGTTCGTTTCCACCCTCATGCCAGCTCCCTCTTGGACTTCTGCCCTCCGCCCCAACAGACCTTCCTCCCTCGCTACTCGTTCCTGCCCCCTGTCTTACGCATTGTCCTACGCCTCCTCCTCCTCCTCGGTCGCTTCACCCCTTCCCCTTTGCTATCTCTGTCACCCCCGCGCCTTCCTGCGTCTCCCACCTCATGGTCATCCTCTTCTTCCTGCCCCATCTATTCCCTCCGCGATCCTCGCTTCGCCCCCATCCTTGTCTCACAGGTCCTCTTCGATGCATTCGTCTTCTGTTCCTCCTCTCCCTCCTCCTCTCTACGCCTCCCTCCTCCTTCCCTCTTTCCCTCCTGCTGCTGCTGCTTCTCCACCTCTTCCGCCTCTTCATCCCTACCTCCTCGTCCTCCTTTCTCCGTCTTTCTCTGTACCTCAGCAGATGCAAGCGAGTGGCAGCAGATGTCAGGCTTTTTCGATAGGGCAGCTATTGCAGGTGAGGATCTGGTCTAGTTGCACTCTCCTCCGCAGGTTTCATGCCGGCCTGCTTTCCCTTCGCGCTTGACGCACAGAACGAGGCAGATGACCTCAAGAGTCTTGGAGAGATGGGACGCGAAGAACGCGCGGCGATATTGTTCTCCTCGGCTTCCTCTCTTGCTCATTGTTCCAGCCTCCGTTTCCTCGCGCGCTCCTCCACCTCGTACTCGCTTCCCCTTCGCCTCCTCTCTCTGCCCCTGTTCCCCTCCTACCATCCCCCCTCCAGCCCCTCCTCGCATTCCCCCCCTCATCACCTTACTCCCTCTTTCTGGAAGTCCAGCAATATCCTAATCCTTGATCTTTCCTGTCCTCTTCTCCCTCCCACACGATGGTGGTTCTCATCCTCTGGCGGTCACGTGCGCTCATTACCAGGAGGGGTTTGGGTGTGAGGGGTGCGCTGGGGGTGGCCACGTGACGCTGTCGCCGGCACCGTCTTGGAGCTTGCTGCCCGTAGCCATTCCAAAACGTTGCCAGTGCGCAGCGCAACGATGCCGCATGTTGGAGGGGGGGCCCTCAAATGGGCCTTCGTGCTGCTGGCACCTAGCACCGTCGGTCTCCATCGTTCAGGAGGGGAGAAAACACAGTGACACAATTAATCGTCGATCACTCTGAAAATATTGGACACTATGGGAATCGGGGGGAAAACGAAAAACCCCAGAAAATATGGGACGATATGGGGAGTCCTGGGATTTGTGTGTGTGCGTATTCATTCGTGTGCCCCTGGGCCCCTGCAACCGTTCCCTCAACCGGCACATGCGGCAGACACGCGCGGATGTTGGTGACCCGCCAGCCTGGCCTCTTGGGCAGTTTTCCCCTGGACGACGACGACGAGGACCAGGATGACCACAGACGGCGACGATGAGGCATTCGGCGAGGCGGAGACAGCGCCGACGACGGGTGAGGCGTGACGGGTCGTCAGCAAGCTGAGCCCGCTTTGTCTTTCCTGGGAAGCCAGTGGAATCTTCCTGTCGGTGTCCAGCATGCCTCCCCCTTGCCCTCGTCGTCGTCCTGATCTTGGTGGGCCCTGGAAACGAAAGGGCCGTTTTTGTTACCGGTTCCGTTTTGCCGTTTTTGTTTGCCGGTTCCGACGCCGTTGTTTTACCGGTTCCGTCGCCGTTTTTTGACCGGTTCCGGCTCCGGTTCCAATCTTGGAGCCGTTTTTTTTGCCGTTTCCGGTCGCCGTTTTTTCGCCGTTTCCA